CTGTCCGCGGCGTGTAGGCGTCTTGGGAGGCGTCTTGGGAGGTGGCTTGCTTCCATGGAGACGCTCTTTGGTCCTGGCAGCCATCTTGCTGATATCAGCCACACCCAGGTCCAGGCCAATAGTCTTCAGTAGATCCTGGATCTTTTCATACTCCTCCAGGGCCTGACGCTCACTCTCCTCCAGCGGCTCCGTCCCTGGGGGGTATGCCGGGTTTGATACCTGGACTGTGATGTTCTGGTCATTGCTAATGGTGGGCCGGCTCACGTGCCTCGTGTCCCCCTCTCCCATGCTGGTAGGTGCCTGAAGGCGAGGTGAGGTTCCCGGAGGGAGGCTGTACATATGACCCATGGTGGCTTTCACTGGGGGGTAGTCGCCATACAGAGTGTCCTCAGTCACGTCCCTGTACAGATCCAGCTCGTGGTGTTGGACTGGGTCAGACACCGGTGGAGGTTTGGGCTCCTCTGAGTCTCCGTAGAGAAACCTCTCCTCATCATCAATGTTGTCTACATCCTTTTGCTGAGGGTTGGTCCCAGCCCCCGGCCCTGCCAGCAGGTTCAGGATTGCTTTGATCTCAGCGTCGAGGCCAGGACGTTGAGCCATCTGCGGGTCAGCCCGCAGCTCTGACAGCATGGAGGCCACAATGTGAGGTTCCATGCCTTTAACTGCCTGCAGCAGCTGGTCAGCCACCCTGGAAATGTTGGAGCCCTCCAGACCTTTGGGAGAGTCGATGCTCTGAAACACAGCGCAGGAAACAAAGCAGTGACGTCTTGGAACCGGCGATAAATCAGCCTGAGGCTGTGAGGACATTCTGTCTTTCCACAAACAATAAGTCTTATTGTCTAAATGTTGATTTCATTACAACTCACCTCCAAAAATCCTTTCTAGCTGGAAGATACTGAACTGGAGCTAAACTGGAGGATATGGAGAAACTAGGGATGCACCAATACCACTTTTTTCTAAACCAAGTACATTTGAGTACTCGCTGATACAAGTACATAATGATGCAATGTTTCTACTAGGGCTGGGCAATATGGCAAAAAATAAAAATCTAGGTTTTTTCATAAAATGTGACCGATTCACGATTTTGATTTTTTTTATTTTTTTTTTTTAATGTGTAACTAGCCAACTTAAACACAAGTACAACAACATGACTGAAGTAACATTTTCTT